GTCTCCAGCTTCTCTTCCTCTGTAATCCCTTCCTTTGGGGCAAAGTGACTCAATACTGCTAGTGGTAATGAGCAGACCATTTTGACTGATGAGCACTTCACACTGATTCTGTGATGCTGGGGTAAAGAGCACAGAAAATTCCCAGAGTGCAGCCTAAAAATGTGCTTCACTCAAACCTCTTTCTTCACACAGATAAAGGGAATGGGGGAAAATGGATGTGAGGTTAAATACTGTTCTACTTTCAGGTTTTGGCTATTAGATCTATCCTTTTCATGAACAAATATCACTCTGTTTAAGCAGTTATCTATGCAGTTAGAGCACACCAGGCTTTTGTCAGTGCTGGGGTCCCAGTTTGCCAGGTGCTGGGCAGGGAATGCCAAATCGTTTAGAGTCTAGTGAAGCCAAGACACTATGAATGGCCAGAGCAAACTGCTGAAAAGAAAGGAGAAACGTGAATGGAAAAAGTAGCTGTGGGAACAGATGTACATTTGCAGGCCAGAAGCAAATGTAATTAAGAGGCTTTGAATGATTTGTAGTACTCGCATACAAACATCACCTCTTTAACTTGCTGTTCTCGCTTTCTCCCTAGATCTCATCTGATGTGGCAGATCAGATGGACACTCAAGTAGAATTTTGTTTAAAAGGAATTAGAGAAAAATAAATATTCTATTTGTTACATCTGCGAGACTCTTTACATCTGTTTTTGCAAACACTCATTAATAGGAGGTTTTCCAAGTGGGGAGAATTTGGTTGATGACAAGATATTGCTCTGTCAACATCATAGGATTTGAAGAACAGCTGCTGGTTGTATTTGAATCTAGAAGTGGGGGAGAGGAGCAGTGCTAGCTCTGGACTGGTAACTGCTGAGAAAAGGAATAATTTCTAAATCACTCTTTTTCTAAAATGTGATGGCTTTACACTAGGGACACTAACTCTGAAACATCTTGGTGCGTTTTATCCCATTTATAATCCTAACCCGTCTCTAAAACACTGGCTATGGCTTCCTTTTCTCTCTCTCATGATGTTTGTCAGTGCTTTTACAGCCTTTGGCAGCTTCCCAGGCAGAGCAGGTTCCCTGCCAACAGAGTCCCCTCCTGGCAGCTCATCTTATAAAGGGCTGACTGCTTTGATGGATGATAAGGCTAAGGAGAATGAAGGAACAAGGGACTTTTTTTTTTTATTTTTAAGGAAAAAGTCCCTCTCTCATCTGAAAGACACACTGTAAAGAGAGTCAGTCCAAACCTTGCAAACTTTTATCAAGAAGCAGCTCATCAGGGTTAAAGCTGTTCCTATGGAGCTCTATGTGTGATACTGGGTGTGGGAGGTGGAAACAGTAAGGCTGGAAAGGTTAGGGAATTAAAAGGAGAGCAAATTGGAGTTTTAGGCCATGAGAGAAAAGCACAGTGAGCGAAGGGAAGAATAATCAGTCAAACAAGAAAACTGGAACAAAGAAGGAAAAAAGTTGGAAAGCAGAAATAGAAACAAAAATGGTCTGTAAGCAGAAGAGAAGCTGAAGAGAAGTGCTTGAGGAAAATAAGGTTGATATATATGCATCCATGTATGCCCACATGGTAGAGGAATAAGAAGGAGCTGAAGCCAGGATGAAAAATAAATCATTAGAAAAGATAAAAAAATCTTTTTGCTCACTTTCCTTCTCATCAGTCCAGCTGGTACCTCTCAACATTGAATTTAATATTGATGTTGAGTTCTGCGGGTATCTGGTTGAGCCTCAAAGGCCTTTACTATAATCATCTTGTAGAAATTTGCCTCAGTGTTCAAAATTATTGCAGACACAGAAGGAAATACATTTTGAATCGGTCCAGTGTTTCCTTCATTTTTTGTGTCTTGGCTGGATTCTGATGTTGGCAACTACTCCAGCTTTGCCCACCTTACCTTATCTTACCTTAATGCATATTTTGTTTATCAGCTTATAAATTGAGCTGCACATCTCAAGAACTTCTAGTGCCATGTGAACCTCTCCTGTAGATTATGTTTCACATCCTCTGGCTGTAGAGAAGCATAAAATGACATATTCCCTCAGTGTCCATATGATCTGTCCACAGCATCGATATGTTACTTCATTTCCTTGCTCATTCCAAGAAAACCCTTATATGAGTGTGATTACTCAGGAGCATGTAAATTGTAACTTATTGGAGAGACCTGTACAGATCTCTTGGCAGCAGCAAACCCATCCTACAGGCCTGAATGCTTGGGTAAAGCTCTCTTGGGTCTCAGTCCAGACTGTCTCATTACAAACACTGCATTTACAATTGCCTTTTCCAGAGGCAACGTGCAGCATATTAATGGTTACTTCGTTAAGATTTTTTTCTCTCTTTTTTTTTTTCTTTCCCCCCAGCTGAGGAGGTCTGCAAGACTGTCATTGATTTACTGTAACTCTTAAAATCTAGAAAAAGGGGTATTCTGCCTTTTGAACATCTTTCTTATCTGTGCCTGTAGATCTTGGGACATTCCTGTCCCATTCCCATTTACTGCAATAGCACAGATAAGTGCTCTCTGAAAACGATGCATCAAGTCTTCTCAATTTCACAGCAAATTTTCTGGTTTTCTTGGTTTTCTGTATTTCTTGGAACATGCTGGTTGTGTTCTCTGTTTCCACACCAAGTCAGTGGTGCTGCCTATCTTCCTGCTGCAGGCTGTGCTGTGGAGGCTGGCCCAGGCTGCCGGGCTCCGCTGCCTGCCTGCAGCCAGCAGGAATGGCCGTGGGCCCAGCTCCACTGGAGATGCCGGCGGCACAAGAAGGGAGCAATTCCAATAGAGAGGGATTGAACTGGGTTGAAGCAAGCTGTGCCTTTAAAGCACAGTGATGTTCTGAGTACTTGTGGTGAATCTGGGAAAAGGTCCCATTTTTTGTTGTCATTTTTTCCCTCCCTTGGTTACTGCTTGCATATACTGTTGCAGTGATTAGATAATGTGTTTATACCTCAGCCTGGTTTAACTCTTGTTGCCCCCTAGCTTCAAAGCTCTGTCCCTTCTTCTGTCTCTGATCTAGCCTAGTTTACAAACCAGTTTCCTTAGGATGTAGACAGAACTTTCAAGGTTTAAGAGGCAATACTCTGCTTAGTCACAATTGGGGTTTTATGGGATATAAGCACTGACCTGCCCTTGTATTCCAGTGAAGGTGGCAGGTGCTCTCCATTTCATGTTGAAGTGTAGGATTTCCAGCCAAATCTCTGTGTTGCAAATGCATGCAGATCCTTCCCATCACTGCCTGGGTGCTGGAAGAATCATGTCTTCTGAGATTATGCAGACTTCAGTTTCTATGGGTTTGATGGGAACATCTAATCTGACCTCCTATACTTCAGGCTTACTCCTATAGAGTAAGCTTGAAGGTCATGAAAATAATATAAATGGGTTTAAAAAAATATGAGAGTAAAAGTGAAACAAATGAGTTAAGAAAATTCAACAAGTAAAAGTGAAATTGAATGCATTCTGCCTGTGCTTGTTTTGTGGATCTTTGCTTCCTCTATCAATCAAAAAGAGATTCAACTTACTCATTGTTTAATACTTGGTTAAACATTACACAGTCTATCAGCTCCAGATAAATGTGTCCCCAATTATATGGGACTTCTACTAATAGAACTTGAGCTAAGTAGTAGTCATTAGAGTAAATCATATACCCCAGTAAAGTGGCTTCAGCTGAAGTTAGGTGCAGCACAATCATGGCCCTCGAGGCGTGTGGCTTGATTGCTTACAGCCTTGCATGTATGTTTCTATAAGTGCCGTTCTCTAAATGAAAAATGTCTGAGTTCTTTTTTTTTTTTTCCTGTGGATCCTTTCAATTCATAATAAAGGACCTCAAGTACTTTTTGAAGCCTCCTTGAGGGAATTCTATTTTTACTAGGATTTTAAGAAGGGAAGTAAATGGGAAAACAGGGACAATTACAGTGTTTCATCTTGCTCACCAAAATGTCACCTTGTTTGAACTCAGCAGAGTGTATTCAAACATCATGGAAGCAGAAAATGTTCAAGTTTGTGGAATAATAGCCTTTAAAAATTCACAGAGTGTTAAATATTGGATGAATAGCTGAATGAAAATTCCAGACTAGAATGTGGAAAGATTAGTCAAACTTCCCAAAGGAAATGTAGCTTGAGCTACAGTGTCTTTCTAAGCTGCCTATCCCTATTCCTCCAGGTATAATATTTGAACCCACCAGCCACTTGAGCAGATCTGATGGAAGCATGGGGTTTCAAAAGACATGGAGTTGTTCCAAGTTCTGTTAGGGTGGTTAGTCGGAAGGGAGGAGCAAAGAGGCTCTGCAGGAGGATAGAAGCTTCTCCATGCAGCTTCTACATAGGACTTAAATCCCTTGCTGCAGGTGCTGCCCTCAGTTCAGCACCCAGCAGGGAGCAGGACAAGGTGGGGGGGTGTGGAGAGAGCCAGAGGTGTTTGGGGTGGTTCCAGGGGGCCACTGTGGTGGAGGTGGTGTGCTGAGATCAGGAAGGTGCATAGGATGTAGAACATTAATCACCAGGAAACCAGCTTCATTAATCTTGTTGGGAATGGAACAACTTGTCGGTGCTGTGTGAAGGGAGAGAGGGAATGGATTTATATCAACATTTATATCAACAATTTTCATGCGTAGCTCAACACTCAAGAACACAAAACATTACTTGAGCCCTCCTCAGCCCCTTCCCTGATTCTGCTAATGAAGTAGGATGTCAGGAAGAACCTGGGCTGCTAGAGCAGAGCAGGTGGGATGGGGAAGGCCCAGCTGGGACTGTGCAGGAGGCATCCAGGAAGGCCTGGGCACTGCAGCTCCGTGTGATGTTCCTTGGACACTGCCTATGCTTTGCTGGCCCTGTGGTGGCCACTGGTCAGCTGGCTACAGTGATCACCTGCTGCCACAATCAGAACCTGTAACTACATCAGGATTTTTTTTTTAGATCTCTTTTTTGTGGTTGTTATTTTTTTGTGTAGGTTTTTTTTTGTTGTGATTTTTTTTGTTTGTTTTGCTTTGGGGTTTTTTTTTTTTGTTTTTTTTTCTTATTTATTTTGTTGTTTGTTTGTTTGTCTGAGTGTTTTGGGGTTTTTTTTGCAAAGGTTTGTTTGGCTTTTTTCAGGGAAAGAAGGTAGGATGCTGCTGCTGAGCAAGAACAAGATGTCTTCCAGTTACAACTGCTCCTGCAGAAGCTCTATCTGGTGATGCTTTGTTTATCTTCCTTGTGAGTATTGTAAGAAGGGAACCAAAAATACCAGGCAAGCTCTGCTTTAAGGGATAACCTCTATATCTCTCCTTTTGCATCAGAAATGTGCAAATAGAAAATGACAGCATTATTTTCCTTTCCCTCTTTTCTTGCAGCAGTATGCTTTCTCCCCTGCCTGGCATACTGATTTGCTCGAGAATCCAGGCAGCAATCTGGTGGAGAAAAAAAATATTAAGCACACACAGGCTTTGTTCAGCACTATATCATGACTGGACTCCTACTAGAATCTAATAGTTTTTGCCTCCAGATCTCAAAGTATTTAATGTGTAAAATAATGTCCCATTTCAACAATTTATTTTTTCAAGTTTTAAACAAAGAGAATGACTGAAATATATTTCACAAATCATCTCATGGATTTCTTCCTTGTCCTCATATGTGTCCCACAGCTCTTTCTCAAGCCTTTTTGCATACTTGAGACAAAATTTTGCAACGCCAGGATATTCTGGTTGCAAGGCCTTTCTTCATTTAAACTGAACTTTTGCAGTAGCAGTAAAGCTTTTTGCAAGCCTTGAAATCATCAGGAGAGTAGTGTAGAAGTTGTAAGTTATATTAAAATTATGTTTGTGCTCTTTTGTGTTGGTGCTCTTATTTGTGAGCCTGGGAGATGTAGCCAAGCTTTCCTCTGGTATGAAGTTTTAAAAAATATGCAAATCAGGCAGAATTAGAAAATTGGGGAAGGAGACAAGGAAAATGGTAGATTTGACACAGAACCCCAGAGGTAAGTCAATTCATAAAGAAAGATGTTGAAATTTCCTTTTAATAGAGAGAATTTAGTTATTTTAGAATATAACATTGGTGATGCAGACCCTGACCCAGGTTCGCCCGACCCAGAGTGCTGTTTCTGACAGTATCCATAGGTGAAGAGTCTGAGCAAGACAGGTATGTGTGACACTTGATGTTCTCCCAGCCTTTGCGTTTTTGAACTCAGAGACTTCGTGGCTAGATGTGGTCCCAGGCAGTTGCCCTCTGTGAGAATATGTCCAGCCTTCCCTTGAAGCTACAAAAACTTGTACCATCTGTAGTGCCCTTTGTCAAGGAGCTCCTGCTGCTCTTTTTGCTGTTATTTTGTCTCCTTCAGGCTTCAACTGATGACCCCCTATTGCTGGTACTGTTAGAGAAGCAGACAATCAGTCTTTTTGCAGACTTTTTTTTGTATACCCAGAAGTCACCTCTTTCATAAACTGATGTGTCCTACCTCGCTCATTTGCTCCTTGTACAGCCCCTTTCTCTATCTTTGATCTTCTCTTCTGCCTTCCTCTGAACATTTGTCAGTTCTGCTATAAAGCTTTTGAGGGATTTTCTTGCTCAGTTTTATGAGATTCCTGACAGTTTTTCACAGCTGATGCTAGTCCTTACTATCCTAAATAACTTGGTATTCTTGATAAGCTTTCTTACTTCACCCTTTTCTAAATTTTCCACTGAACAGCACAGACCCCTCTTGAACTGTTGCTTACTCTTCACTGAGAAAATGTTGCTACTCTGTTTCCTAACCAGGCAAAGACCTTCTATAGATGCTTGGTTTCTTCTAATGCTTGAGAAAATGTTTTTGAAAATCAAGGCAGTCAGTGTCAACCAAATTACTCTTATCTTCAGATTTGTGGGTCCCTTTGCAGTTCTCCAGGGAGAGCAAGAAAGATCTTCTCCTTATAAAAGCCCTACTAACTTTCCATACTCTGATCATCCCAAGTAGCTCGTGCTTCTCTAGTTGACCACTCCTTTTTTTTGCACTATTACAATTCCTCCGAATTGTCTTGGTTCAAAGGTCAGGCTGCTTTTCCTATGTTGCTTCTGATGATTTTTTAGGAATTGGCGCCAGTTTGACCCACAGCTGTGACTGAATGTTGCAATGTACCCTGGAGCTGAAGAGATGGTCTCCAGGAGCTCAGCACCCTGTGGTGTCCTGGCCCCATCCTTGGCCGGTACACAGGACATATCACACTGTTCTCAAGTGAAAACCTGCATGCTCAGAGAAAGAAAAAGAATTAAAGCATACATAGGTAGGATAGACTGGGTGCTTACGTGGGAGTGGGGTATTCAGTCCCTGCTCTGCCACAGCTCAGTCTCTGTCTGCGTCTCTCCCTGCATGTACTGTGGGTGTAGTGGTATTTTCCCAGCTCACAGGGTTAGGGTTGGATAAGTAGACTGCAGATAGCAAGAACCTTATTTACTACTGGAATCTGTGCCATAGTAGAGCCAAAAATAGGTGGGTGAGTGTACTTACAGTACCAGTGGAGCGTTGCTAACCTTGTGTGACAGAGTGAAGGCTAGCATGCTACAAATGCATTGTGAAGAGGGAGTGGGAAAGCCCTGGCTGAGCACAGTAGGATCAACCTCTCTGCATGGAAAAGGTGCTGGTTCCCCTTGTCAAAACATTGCCTTAAGCAGGATTTTCCAAACAGGGCATTTTTTGTCTGACTTGAACTTTTGTGTGTGAGCTTTAGGGCCTGCTTAAGGCTGTAAAACCATTACTTCAGACATGCTGGAAGTTCTTCATGGCCTGGAGATGAAACTGTGATGGCAGAAAGGGCCAGGCGCTGTGAAACACAGCACAACAGAAAGGGACTGTCACAGAGGGGGCATGTTGGCCATGAGTCTGCAAAGAGTAGTTAAAACTGGCTAGAGTACAGTTATTCCTTATGTTGCACTACACCTCTAATTTAAACTTCTATGTGAAAATTATTTTCAGCAGGTAGTGATCTGCAGGAAAAAATATTGGTCTACTTGGTATTATGAGAGATATCTCAGGCTGTCTGAGGTACATTGAACTGTGTGCTCTCTCTGCTCAATGCATTGTGCATTAGTCCAGCCACACCTAACAGAGGCATTTGCATGAGTAATTAACTGCCATTTCCTGCAAATCAAATTACTTGGAATTAGAATTTAAAATTGCTTTCCAATTACTGAACCACACTTGTTAGTGAGAGCAATGTTTTTACTGTGCCACATTTAGAAAGGGCAGAGGCTCTTAACTCTTTCAAGAGAGCAATTATTTCTGAGAAGCACAGTGCGTCCAGGGATCCCAACCTTATTTGCTTTACACTGCTATCAACCACTGGAGCCAGTGATGCTGTTCTCACAAGTGAGACAAATTAATTTGCTTCATAAAATTTATGAGTAGAAAAACATAAAATTTCCTTTATTAGCATCATGTTTCAAGGACAGTTGTATGGGCTTCAGCACAAAGTTGGTTTTTGTTTTTAAAGTATACAAGCAAAATTGTTCAGAACCTTTTCATGACAGGCTGTATGAGCAGATGTATATATAATTCTAAATGAAGATGTCCCTATTATCACTTAGAGTATAAATTTAAATTGTCAATAGGAATGTTGCACTAATATTAGAGAACAGTATTTCCTAAAAATATTCTTTGAAAATTTACAGACCCTGAATTTCCTCATGTCTTGTGTCTGACAGTGATCAGAAAAATTGTCTTTCTGTCTTCTTGAAACACAACTAAATAATAAAGGGGATTATGTAAAAATGATGAAGCTAGGACATCATATTTTAAAGCTGCACTGTGGGAACTTTGGCTGGCATCAATGTGTTGAAGAAAATAAATGTATTCATATTTCTTGATTCCAGCAAACCAAGTCTTGCATGTAACTTAAATGACTTCCTGGCTATCTAGTGTGGTTTCACAGAGTCAAAGCCTTATTATTATTGTCCTTGAAGAATACAGTACCCTGTTAACCATTAATAGGAGTCAATTAATCCTAATTGATTCAGTGACCAGAGAATATTTGATGTTCAAGATTATAAAATATTATGAGAACGGACACTAATTTTTGCCATCTCCTGCCTAGAAAAGGAATGGATTTAGTTAAAAGGAATACTAGAAGTACAAGTTGATTTTTCTGTATTATATATAAAAGCATAATGACATTGTGTAGCTAACTTGAACTGACAAGAGCAATGAAATGTAAGGTTAAGATTCTTACTACCTTTAATCTTGCTGATGCTGGAAGTACTGCAGTGCACTAAGCATTAACACTATGGAAATAAAGAGACCAATTATAATTGTAAACTGGCGTGGAAAAAGGAAAGCTTGACTCATTTCTTATCAGATTCATTGGCAGACTGTTAGTACAATCACAGAATAATCCCTTCTGAAACCAATAGAGGTCTCCAAATTAACAGCAAAAAGAGAATTTGCCCTATATTTGCTTCATCTCACCCCAAAAGTCGCCTTTAATTTACCCTATCAAGTTAGCGCATGGGTTTAAGGAGGAGTGATGACACAAAAGGTATGTCATTGGTGCTGCCTTCTTTCCTTTGCTCAGGCCAGATGGCTCTGCTCTGGGGAATCTGCAGTGCATCCTGGAGAGCAATCATAGTATGAGAGGTGATTGCTGAAGGTGAGTTCCTCTGCCAGCACCCAGACAACCTGAGTTAGGGTTTCACTGACTCTCATGTTCTAATTGTAAGGAAAGGCAACATTTGTGCAGTTAAAGAGTGTTTGGACCTGTGATGGAGGCTGAAAACGGAAGTGTGTTATGAAGTTGCACATCGGAAAATAAAAGGAGAGGGAAGAGATACAGGAAGTGAGAGGAAGATGAAGCAGGACAGCATAGGTGGATGGAGCAGGTGAGCAGGCTGATGGTGAATGAGCAGAGCTGTTTGCTGCCAAGCAGCTCTGGGCAACACTGGGGAAGAGAGACTTGCAGACTCTGTGAGGCCTGAACTTACTGCCTCCCCCTGGGCTATGGCTGAGTTGTCAGCTTGTGTCAGCTGTTTTCAGAGTGTCTTCAGGAGGGTTTGATACAAGGGTGATGAAGAGTGCAGAAAAGAAGCCTTTTCTTAAGCCACCTACAAGCACAAGAAGGGTCATGGTAATTCAAGCCTTTGCCTTCTGAAGAGAAGGCTGACATACTTTCAGAGATCACAGTGATCTAACATTGCCATGAAAGCTTGAAAGCACCTCGTTTTGAAAGAGATGAGGATTTAGCATCATCTGGGACATTTTTTGCCACCATTGCCAGGATGCTGGAAGAGCTGAACAGTTGCTTGGATCTGTCAGTTTGGTGTCTGTTCAGATGCTCATCACACAGTTTTGCTGGACAATTAGCTCCCTGAACCTTCTCTAAAAGGAATAATGCTGGGCAGAAACCAGACAGGACAGTGCTGCACAATATATTTAGACAGTTAAATGGTTAACAACAGAGATCCTGTTGTGATTCAGTCATGCCAGTAGCATAATGCCAGCTTCTGTCCTCATCTGACACTTTCACGCTGCTCGGAAGGAACCGCTGGGGAAATATGCTTTCACAGATTGTTAGTTGTACAGCCACAGCCCTCAGAGCCTTGTATAATAAGGCATTAGCTGAGGAAGGGGAAATAACCAAGTGCTGGTCACATATCACGTCAATTTTTGCTATCAGCACAAGCTCAAAGGCAGCTGATTCTGGGTGGGAGGTAAGGCTTCTCAGAGGTCACCCCAATTAACATCAGGGCTTGGACAGGGGCCCCGCCTGGTTTCATAGATAAAGCTTCGCTGCTTTTTCATTTACTGAGACGAACCTGACTAAAATGAGCAATTGGGCTCTCATGCTGCAAAAAGCTCTAAAGTAGGATCCTCGGTGTATGTGTGTACGTGCTGGCAAAGCACAGGATGACAGACTCCCTCACAGTTAGCAGGGGCAGGACGAATCTGTAGCACAGAGAAAGCAGTATATAGGTCCTAATTATTTTTTATTTTGGAGTAAAATCACACTGAAAAGCAAACAGTTGCAGTCAATACTGAAAAATGAGCTTATTTATCTCTTTGGACACAGAAGATGCTCCAGCATTGATTTAACTGCAATGTACTGCAGGGCACTGATTTCAAGATAAGGCATGATTGATGGGAAGACACTTGGTATTGGGGCAGCGCCTTGGCAACCTTTAACGGAGCATCAGCCACGTGTGCAGAGCTGTCCCAAGCTGTACTCCACGTGCAGTGAACAGGGACTGTGTCGTTGCTGCAAAATAATCTGGGAGCATCAGGCAGGGCAGAAGTCTGTTCTGTCACTGTATTGGTGACAAGGCAAGGTGAGGGTAAGGATGCTGGCAGAATGCCTGGATCTCTGAGTTTGTTCATTTGTGGTACACATTGTATTTTCTAGAAATACCCATTCATAAGTTTTTAAGTAAAATAAAAACTCCGCTGTGGAGTCTGAGTTTCTTCTTCCTCATACCAATGAGTACAGTCATATCTGTAATGTGAAGAGCTTCACAGTGGGTTTTGCCTATGTAGTTCATCTGATCTTTTCAATAAACTTACATCCCAAAGATCCAGAGGAAAATTTCAGCTAAGTCCATTTCCAACCTCTGTATGCATACATCAGATCTGACCCACTGGAAGAAACCACATGCCAAGTTCACTGGCTGGTAGAATAGCAAATTTCAAGAAGTTTAATTGTCCCACACAGTTTTCTTTTTCAAAGAGTCCAATAATATCCAGTTTCAATTTCAGAGAGCAATTGTCTGTAAAGAAGTGTTAGCTAAGTAAAGTGAATTGTTTGAACAGTGCTGGGATTTTGAACTGTCGTTGTGAGAAAGGCTGCTTTTTTTCTGGACCAGCCAGGCAAAGCTGCAGCTTCTTTCTATAGGAGGGAAGATGGTGAATATTAATCACCCCTTGGCAACCTGTCAGGGACAGATTGCAACCCAAGAGAATTGATTTGCTGATTATCTGATGTGACAGGTTAATAAACTAATATTTATACATAGGGTAAAAGTAACAGTAGAGTTGGGCAAGAGATCTGCATTTCCTGAACTCTTAGGTCAGTGATTTGTGTGGGAAAAATGTTTTCCTTTCTGGCCTTGGGGGAAAGGGTGGAAATATCTTTGTCAAGAAAAATTGTTTAAATTCTCTGTGTGCTTGGGATTTCTCTTTGAGAAGACCATTCAAGAAAAGAACAAGACTGGCAATTCTGGGTTCCTTGGCTGACTTTCCAGCCTGAGGACTGATGTGGCACATGCTGACCTGACCACCCAGCTGTCCCACCCTCCCTGGGTACCAAAATATTTGACATTATCAGACACTCTAAAAATGTCTCCCATGGTGTCTGATGTCTCTGTGGTTTACCTGAGAGTTGGGTCAGCATATGTGCCGTTCTGGACTTAGTGCATTGCACAGGCATTTTCTTCCCAGCTTCCCTTCATAAACAACAAGTGCTGGAGCAAGGAAGAGGGAAATACTGAGCAGCATCATCCTTGATGCAGGTGAACCAGAGTCCCAGTGACAGCTGATCCTTGGCCACTGATTCTACTGTGAGAAGGGAGGAAGGGTTTCACTTGAAGGTCATTCCAGGGGGCTGAAAAATCCCCTTAGGGAGATGCTCTCTGTTAGGCTGGGTGAGGAGCCTATGTGGCAACTCCAGCATCCAAGCCAACCCTGTAGACAGCAAGGTGTGACTCCTGTGAACAAGAGCAATTGGAGAGGGTAGAGCTAATGATGGACAGACCCACCTCAATGATGAGAGGAAGCTGTGGATACCCTTGGCAGTAAGGACGGGGCTTCAGACTTGTGATAGATTTCTTCAGGGGGCTAGGAGATGCAACTCATTCAAAGCATGTAAAGGAGAATTAAAAAAAAAAAAATTGAAACACGTAACCCATAAAAAACCCGAACCCTTTGAACATTGCTATTTATGATTACACAGGAATTCAAGGCTTCCTTCATGTTCATAGCTAGAAACTGTTTTCCTAGATAAAGTTTTAGAGGCTTAGATGTAATCAGCTAAGGAACTCTTCAAATAAGCTAAGCTGTGTTTTGATTTGGTGCAAATAAGAAGTGAAGTAATAGGAATAGCTATTCCTGGAACAGCTGAAGCTTTGAAATGCTGATTTAAAATGCTTCATGCTGCCATTCAGCTGTCCTGTCATAGCAGTATGGAGCAAAAGACAGTTTTCTTCTCTGTAAACATACAAAAATAAGGATATATGAGCAATTGGAAATAAAAATCTGTTTCTAAAAATATAGGGGAGATAATTTTTTTCCTCTTTTACTTTTTACTTTATATTTTTATTCTATTTTTCCTTCCTGTATTTCTTCTTAGCATCAAAAACACAATAGCAATGTTTCTTACAAAGGACATCTAGTTATCATTTCTCTACTGCTGTTACCTCACTCGACATCATGATCTGAAAAGTCTGATCATGTAGGGCATAACTGTAAATTTGCTATAAACACTCATTCTCCTGCATTGTGAGCTGACAGGGAAGAGAGATCTGGGATGATGCCTGTGCTGCAGTCAGAAGCCCAGGCAGAGCAGGTATGGGGAGAAGGCTGAGGAGCTGCAGGGGTACCAGCATGAGGAGCTGTCAGAGTCTTTGCCCAGGTCTTGAGCAAGCCTTTGGCATGGTGGTAACTGTGTTGGCACTGATAAAGGAGCTGGTTTAGGTCTACCTATACATATGCTTCAGCCCCACACCGGACAGTATAATCATACAGAATCTGCCTTTTGGATTTCTGTCTCTGCATTCTGCCCCTGCCTTCCCCTCTTTGGCCCAATATGCAGAGAATGTTTCCTGTGATATTTTAGCTGAAAGAGGCTGTTCTCAGCCTGCTGGCCATTGGGAGGAGACCATTGCTACCCCTCCTTCCTGTTCCCTAAACACCCCTATTCTGAAGATGTTTTACCAGTCTCTATTAGGCTGTGTGCTCCCCTGTGAATGGGGCTATTCCGAAATAGGCTTTACTTTTCCCCATCAGCTGGTATCAAAGGTAACTCACAGAATAAAACAGATTTGAATATGGCCTATTATGAGTCTGTGCCTAAAAGTGATTGTGGAAAAACAATATTTTGTCTTTATTTTGCCCCAATTTGGGGCAAATCTCTTTCAAGGTCTATGTTATTTCCAGACCCTTGATGGTTTCCATTTAAGTTCAGGGATGTTTTCCAGATATTTGTATAGCATTATAGTGAGTTTCTGAAAACTTGCCATGCAGCTTTACTTCAGTGAGTAGCACTACTAATGTCCACCAGACTCCTGCCATGTGGAAACTCACTCCCACAGCTTCATAGTGGTAACATTGATACAGCAACAGCAAATTTCTTATTCTGTATGAATCTGGGGGCAAATAAGTTCTTGAGTTAAATTTATTTTCTGAAATCAGAAATACTTTTAGGAGCACTTTTTTGTCCTATTGAGAACAACTAATGGTGTATCTGATAAGACAGATCCTAATAAATGGATTATTCTATGTAGAAAGATACTAGTGAATCATATCTATAAGTTAGGTTATTTCTTCTGCCTGTGATACATAAACACAGGGAGTTTGCAAGTGAAGGGTGCTATACTGAGGACAAATGGAAAGAATTGCTCTGTTGCATGGTGCTCTGTTGTCTTGTGCCTTCGTTGCTATGGGATGTAATTCTATTACCCACTGTACTGTTAGATTTCAGAAGGGTAGTTCATAACCACTAATAACATTTGTGGCAATCTGAGCTAAGTTAATGAAAAAAGATAATCAAATCTAATGCTCCAGGGCAAGATATGTGATATCTCCAGGGGTCATAAAGAGATCATACAGCTGTCTTGGGCCAAGGGGCGGTTCTATGTGTGAGTGCAAGAAGAGGCAAGAGGCAGCAGAAAAGTGAGGGTCACCTTGCTCAGAAGCACTGTGTGCTGGTCACTGGCAGAGGCAGGAGGGGATTGCTAGATATGTCACAGAGATGGAGACGCTTATTAAGCTAATGACATTTTTAGTAATGCTGATACCAATAGATAAATTTCAGCTGATCCCAGACATTTGTCTCAATGTGTTGATTGGGAAATTGGATGAAGTAGTCTATGCATGGTTCTGCCTTGTCCACAGCAGGCATATACTGACTTGGGAGCTGACCAAGAATGGCATTAAAATAGCCTTTGGAATTTTTTTTGAAAACACAAGCTTCAGTATGAAACTCACTTCTGAAGCAAATGCAGTATTTTATTGTATCTCTAGACAATACCCAGTTGTGAATTCTTCTTGCTTCTAGCTATAAACAGAGATTTTTTTTTTTTTTTTTTTTTTTTTTTTTTTTTTGTGGACCCTTTCATCACCACATACTGGTATGTCACTTAAGGGTCCAAACAAGGACTTTGTCTTCCTTGTAGGCATGTAACTGATAATGTTCAGAAAAAGGACACGAGCATTCTTCTATTTCTATTACTGTTCTCTTTAATACAGATCTGCTTCTGACTACAGTAAGACTTCTGTCCTAGTTTCAGCCAAAGACAGGTTAATTTTTAGCTGTAGCCACGAGGTGGCAGAGCCTGGAGCTGTGTGTGTGTGTCTAGGTTGTTACTCTATGCCATGGACTTCATCAGAGGGAGGCAGAAATAAGGGATTCTCCCTTCCAAGGAGGATGATGTGGCTTGTTGACGTTGCCAATGTGTTTTTCTCCACTCCTCTGGCAGCAGAATGCAGTTTGCTTTCACCTGGAGGGACATGCAGTACACCTGGAATTGACTCCTCCATGGGTGGAAGCACAGCCCCACCCTCTGCTATGGACAGATCCAGGCTGCACTGGAAAACAGTGAGGCTTCAGAACGCCTGCAGTTCTTTGATGACATCATTGTATGGAGCAACATGGCAGAGGAATTTTTTGAGAAAGGGGGAATATAACCCAGAGCCTCCTGAAGGCCGGTTCTGCCATAAAACAAAGATTAATGGACCTGCCCAGGAAACTCAAGTCTTTGGAGTAAAATGGCAAGATGAACGTTGTCACATTCTCATGGACGTGGTCAAAAACCAGCAAAATACCAACTGTGTTCCCACCAACAGGCAAGAAGGAAACAGTTTTCTATCTCATTGTTCTTTCCAGTAAATTTTTCATATCTCAACTAACTGCTCTTTGTCTGTCTTACTGGAGGCAGGGGAAGAAGGGGAGTGGGTTGTGGTTTCCATTTTAGTGGGAAAACTAAATTATGTCATTCCATTCCTACACCACAACAACTTCTTATACCAAATTCTAGCCATGTGAGGATATAAAATGCCTGTGTGTATATGGCCAAAGGTAGGAAAAACAAGAAGGCTAAGGACTGCATGAAATGGTCCCTCCTTCCATATGCCTTCCTAAACCTCAGAGACTTCCTAAATTAGGTGTTTTAACTACTATAGTTTGCCCTTGATAGTTAATCAATTCTGAATAGATGCACTGGTTCCCTTTTTGAACATTTTTTAATAGATCTTACTAATTTTCTGTAGCACTGAATAAGGAGCCCTAAGAGTTCTCCAATAAAGGGACTTCTGAAAGTAAATATGTGTGATGGGCAGGTGTCATTTGTTGCCTTCAAGTGTCCTTGTAGCCTACAGTGGTGCAAGTGCCCCCCACGCAGCCATCTCATGCCCATGGGAGATTGTGTGACTGTCCCACTATGGGTCCATTCACTACTGGCATGTGCTCATCACAGTTTTTTTTTTTACTTTGAGTAAAAAAAATACAGGCTGTATTTGATACTAGAGTAATTTTGCCTTTTCCCTTCAGAACAACAACAGCTATCCACAGAATTTAATGGGAAATATTAAAGAAAGTGTTTTGGGACCAGAATCCCTTAGTATCATGGTCTGTACCTTTTAGGAGTGCTTGCATGTTTTTCCTGCAGTAATAGTGGAGTACTTTGATGTTCGCAATTGTATTTTTTATCAACATTTTCTAACTTCTTTTCATGTTTTTCAGAAAATCTCCATTAATTTCTAGGAGTATGGTTGCTTGTAAAGCTCCTGACTTTTTTGAGATTCAAAAAAACCCCAAAAATTCAGCTGCTAATTTTTAGGGTTTGCTGTAGAACAGAAGAAATAATTGTAATAAATTTTCTTGAATTTGCCATGATAATATTAATAACATTTCTATAAAGCTTGGATTGAAACAAAAAATCTTACAGAAAAACTGATTGAAAGCTACTGTACAAAAATTAATTGCTTCCACCCACCCTTTCCCACAGTTCCTCAAGACATCACCATGTTTCTGTTTTAAGCGTCTACAATATAGAGTTATTTAAACAAATTCAGGTTTTAATTAAACAAAGTAGGCTGGGGTTTCTGTGGGTTTGACAACAATTTTCAATATGTAACACCAAATAGATTTTGCTTATTATTTGTAATACCAAAGGAAATTTTATTTAACTTTCTTTATTCTACAAAAGAAAAATTAATATCACCCCTAAGGCAGTCAAAGTTATTTTGGAACACTGAGCTATTACAAAGTTTCCAGCATTGCAAATAGTGGTAGTTATTTTAAACAACATTAATTCACCCTTCTAAATTGCTTCTCTCTCTTTCAGCACAGACTTGCCTCTTCATAGGATGGTTCTCAGCTGCAAAACATCCAGACCCTAATTTATGTGTATGTGAATAATCAAGGTTAATAAATTCCCTGTGGGAGAAACAGTCAGTGCCATTCAGACCACATTCTGTTTTCCTCCCTTTCCACAGAGTAGGCTGTTGAAAATGTGTCTGATGAAATTGTAGGTTCCTTCTCTACTCTCATGAATTAATTTAATGTTTCTAATTGGGATTAGGTGAAGTACCTCTCCCCATGACTGGACAGCCAGCAGGTAGGACAAATGAGTTTAAATATCTACTCTAAATCAAGGAGAGAGAGGATAAATTTACATATTTTCTTTTTTCCCCACATCATAATTGTTTCTATTTCTATAGAGTGTACTGGTTTTGGGGCTTTTTATATGTGCAGCCCAAATCAATGACCCAAGCACATGTCCTAGGTCACAAATTGACTGGAGAGTAGGAAAGACAAGATTCATAGCTTGGATTTTCAAGAAAATTTTCCTTTTAGCCAGAGGTAGATGGAAGTTTATTGCCAACTTTACTATATTAGATTAAATTAGGAACCTAAGCACAATTTTCTCATGTCCTCTTTATTACATCTCTGATGGATTTGTGCAGTTCCTTGGCTGGTTCTTGGACCATCCTTCTCACACAGATCCCAAATACTGCCTAGAAGGGCTGGTACCTACAAGAACTGGGGGCCTGTGTGTTCGAGTCGGATGCAGTGCAACAGCAGTAAAGTATTTATTCTGTATCTGAGCTGGGCAGCTGAGAAAGCCCAGCCTGAGTACAAGCTTTGAGGCAGTTTCATTTTGCCTCTAAGCACATATAGACAATACGTGCGCAGCTGAGCAATTCACTTGACCTTGCCCTTTTAACACAAGGAGCTTGTATTAAAAGAGGATACAGGTCTGGACTTTCAGCCAGACTATCACTGTGTATGGCAAACCAGTGTGATCACACATTCCTCTTCTTGTGCAGCAACCTGGTCATTAATCTGCACTTCCCTACACACAGACCAATTCTCAAGGCAGCTGGCAGTATCTGCTGAAGCATTGGAAGGTAGGGAGCCCTTGGAGTGACAGTGTCAAATGGGACCAGTATGGGTGTGCCCAGGGCTGCATTGCTGGTGGGGTGAGAGGTATGCATGGGAGGGCATGGACAGAGACCCTGTCAGGATGGAACCTGTGCATACCACAAATTCTCTCTCCCCTTTGTGTCCTGGTTTTCATGTTGAGGAAAGGGGACTGCAATGACCCCCTGCAGGTGCCAGCTGCATTGCTGACTGCCCTGGGACTCACCATCTCCTGCTATGGCTACACTCACAACTGCTCCCAGTGATCTTAGGAGGGCTTATTCAAAATGTGATTATCTTGCCATGGATGCCAGGACATCAGAAATGGCCCTGTATGGCATGAGATAAGGTTTGGCAAGGATGGTGCTTAGGAGGTGCCAAGAAGAGCTGATGGACACTGGTGACTACATACAGAGAGCACTCCTGTACCCTGCTGTCCAGTGAAGCCCCCAGCACACATTGCTATCTGACATTTCATTATCCAGTATGTCCCAATAGCCCCAGGTAAAGACATCAAATCAGTGTTGCTGTGTTGGTTCAGTTCCCAAGCAGCTGCCTGAGGTAAAAATGGGTTAAGCATTTAGACATTGACCATTATTGGATTATACCAGGATCCTATCAGTTTTTAATCTTCGATAAGATGCTGAAACATGCCTTTTAAATTCACTGCAGCCCTCACATAATTTTACTTTGACTCCTTGAATTCTTCCTGTCAGTTCCCCCAGAACAGCCAGGATGAATACAGGGCTCCGTGAATTGTCTCACTCACGCTTTATAGAGAGGCAACACTGCCCCTTTACTTATGTGTTCTATTGACCTGTTGACATAGCCGAGGGTGGTGCTGCAAACTGATTGGTGATTGGTGATAGTCTGAATTCGTGGGATACATGTAAAATGCTAATTTTATGAGTTAAACATTGAAGAGGTGCCATTAGTTTTTAAAAGTCTTATTCCCACTTGGCTCGTCTCATAATCACTGTTATAAGGAAGATTACTGGGATGAGCACAACAATAAAAATAAGAGGGGAGAAGTCTTTTGCCTTAGTCTGGAGTTTGAAAAGACCTTGGAGTTTTTCAATTTATTTTGCACTGGACAGCATTTATGTGTATGGTGAGTGACTCTGCTTGCTGTTTATAAGATGTTTCTTCTCAGAAAAATTATAAACCTGGGTCTAGAGGTTTTTTTTTAAAACTGCAGGAGCTGTTTATTAACAGCAGGAGCCCATCACAGATGAGATTGTGGAGGCGGTGTCTGAAAAGTAGAAGCAAGATAGGGTGGAGGACTGAACCTTGAGTCCACCCCTTTTTGCTTATTGCTTTGCTTCTCTTCCCTCTTCAGCCTCTCCTTTTCATGAGAAACTACTGAATGTGGAAGAAAGGCTGCACATTTCCACAGTCATGGCACTCTTTTCTTCTCTCACACCAGTATTTATAGCCATTATATGTGTTTTGATTGGGGTAATAATGAAGAAGACGAATGGAGAGAAGGAAAAATGTGACACTAAAAGCAAGCATCCATCTCGCCCATGGGTGGATGAAGATTTAAAAGATAGCACTGACCATCCCTTAGAAGAAGAAGGTAAGAAAAATCTTATCCTAAACACTTTTGTTGTTTGAATTTTATCTGCTGATATGAATAAAGGAGGTGCAATCTTCTGGACTTCTCCGCAGTGACAGCAATGATCAACGCAACACTGCTGCTGTGCCCTGAGCTTGTCAGCTCCCAGGAAGGAGGCATTCCTCATGTAGTAGTGTTACTCTTGGTGTAAATTCCCTCCAGACCCCACAGATCAGAGTGCAAAAAACACGCGTGCGCGCGCACACACACACACACACACACACACACACACACACACACACACACACATATATGTATATGTATAAAGCGTATTCTCAAAGACTCCTGTCTGTTCCTCTGTACAGCGGATCTCAGACCTATGAGGGACACTATGGACAGTGTAAGGAAAGAGAAGAGATCCTGCTGAATTCCCCACAGTCTTTTCCTAGGCCTTATTAGCGTGAGCAAAAGAGAGATGTGAGCAGAGAGTTTCTATCTGCAAGTCATCCCACTTTATCACTCAATGCTACGTATTTGCTCTCAGCACAGCTAAAAAGTTGGAAATGGGTTTATTACTGTTTTTACAAAGGTGCTCCATTTGTGACTTCTGAGAATGTCAATGGCAGCTTTGTTGGGAGATGTGTTGATCAAATATTTAAGAACAAAATGTGGTGGTGGTGATAGTCTGGTCCCTTCAGCTGCATATTTGAACCCATGCAGAATGCCCTTTATTTTCATTAGCTTTTTCTGATTCACAGCTTGGATAAAAAATTCTGATCTCAAAATGCAACCTTCCTTCTTCTTACTTCCTAACTATCCTCCATAAACTCACTTTATTTCTTTGTAAATCAAAAATCTACAGAGTTCTGTTCCTGTCAAGTTTTTAAAGTTGTAGTTAATGCAGCTCTTCTTCCCCCCCCCCATGCTGGTTTCAAAGACTTTTTGAAGGGTCTATTTGGGTTTTTTTTTTTGCTGTAATAACACTTCCCTCAGTCTGCTTCTAGGAATCTTAAAACTTACAGTGTTTTTCTGCATATAGACCTTTTCCTAAGAACTATTATAGCTCTTTTGTCAGTGTTCAGTGTACTTGCAGCTAGTTTATCAGTTTCTGAAAATAGTTGATACCAAGAAGGGTTTAAACCCTGTTGAGTATTTTCCAAATATATAAAATTTATTTACAAACCAGGTCACCTGTTGTATCCTCCTTTGTTCAAGGCAAAATAGATTCTGTATAAAATTATTCCATAATTTCTTTGTCACTAATGACTTACTACTTCAGTTAAATTGCTGCAAATTAGAATTCCTGTGGGTAGTTCAAATGATAATCTATGAATTACCATCTTGGATTATAGCTGTTTCCATCAGTTAAGAAATTTAGATCCTTTGCATAAACAAACTATTAGCTCTTATCAAGGAGCCTCACTGCCACAGCTCCAGATATAAAATTTTAGTCTTTTATGTGTTAGTTGCTTTCCCTTTTATTCAGGTACTAAATTCAAAACTGTACTATTTTTTGTTACAAAAAAAATTGCTTTCAAAAAAATTTTAACAGTTAGACATGTTGGTACTGATGCTAAGTTTTATTTACTTTTAAATAAAACTTTTCTCAATATACCATGTCATCCAATATTAAATTTTCTTGCTATTTTTCTTTTAGTAACAAATAATGATCTTTCCCTTAATGGTGTGTGATTCAGACTAATTTATTTGTAAAACAGTAGTGTCTTTTATCTCTAGAAATATTAAAATAATTTATTCATTCATAGGGAAATTTTTTTTCACCAGGAAATTTTTCTTCAGCCCAGCCTAAATAAGAAGAGTAGTAAGGAGAAGAAAGAGTTAGTAAGGATCTGTTACTTTGCTAGAGCCTTAATTAAAGATCAAAATATGTTAACCTTGTTGTCAGTGTAAAAATTTTCACTGACTGCACTAGGAAATGGAAACTGCTGAAATGAAAACATGGATGCTGAATTAGAAACATGGATGTATAAAGAGATTTTTCTAATTCTAAAGAATACTTTACCTGCTGTGCAAATTCTGTTATTTTATAAATGTATCTTACTTTATCAGACAAGCTCAGTTCTACTTAAATGTGTTTGTCTGGCTTGTGTTTAAAGATTAAATTCCTCTGAAGAGAATTTGAGTTAAGTAACATGAAGGTTATATTCTTAAGGCCTTGTCTAAAGCTAGAATCTAGGGCTGCCCCACGTGAACAAGCTGAATTTTCAGCAGCCCCCTGAATAGGAAGGGGCAGCTGAAGACCAAGTCTCTTGATTCATGTCCTTGACCAAAGCAAGGTCTATTTGCTGAGAGAGTGAAGCACTCAGCAGAAAAACAGAATAGCACCAACCTCACTTGTAGCTCCATGAGCCTTCCCTGAAGTGGAACCTTCATGGATGCTTCCTACGAGAAGGACATACCTTTGAGCAGCAGAGCATTCACTGTAAGTAGCTGAACTGCTTGGGCAGACTCAGTAGGGTCACTCATTGGCAATGAACGGTAGAGTGGTGAGGGCCAAGTGCTCCTGAGCTTGTCTCTGTTGTGCTTTCCACAGTTGAAGAGATGAATGTTTCTTGTAGCAGCCAGAAACCCAATTCTTTTGTTAAGTGCAAAGCACTCAGTCTATTTATGTAATGCTTTAACTGGCAGTACTTCAGATTTGTTTGCATGCCCATCTATCCTGTAACTTTTTTCTTCATTTATAAGATTCAAAATGAGACATTGTTGTGCTGTGGTTTGGCAAGGACACTTGATGATACACTCTACTTAAGGACTACAAAACACACGAAGTCCCAAATGTTCCATTTCTCCTGAAAATGTGCTTGCTTGTGATACTCCTTATAATAGACCTGTCCCACTAAAAAGCATTTCTCCTCTCCCCAGTTTCAAAGACTTCCCATATCTTAGTAATACTACTGCTGACATGGATGAGGCAGTAGAAATTTAAACCTCCTTTTCAATGGCAGTTCATGTTTTGTATCATTTAGGAACACAGGGCTTAGATGGACACAATGCATTACCATGTGTATCTTTCTGCTCCTGCAAATACATCCAGCCTTTGTCAACAGCTGAATGAACATGAAAACTGGACTTTTGTGACACCTTTTTCTTTAACCCGGCAGAAAGACTGGTCCGGAATCTCTTACTATGGATAAAAAACCCTTCTCTACCTTTCTGCCTACCCAAACTTATTTAATACTACTGTCTGTGTATTTAATCTGTTCCATCCTCTTGATTTTAAAGGATTCTTTTCCAGCCCTGGTATATACCCTCCTGTGGTTTATGGATAGCAACCAGATTACCTCTCAGCTTTCCTTATATAAGGTTTTCTCTTTATATGATAGCCACTCTATCTATCTTAAGATCATAAGAAACCTTAGGGAACTATATTCCAGTTGAGGTAATTTTCACAATATTTTGATGCTGGGTTTTTTCTTCCAGGGTCTGTGCCTCTCCAACTTGCTACTTCTTTTGCTTAAGATCCCTGGCCCATTCTTGAGGCTTCCAGGATCAGCCTGCTAACCACTATTTATAATCCACTAGTAGGGTAATCCATCTCTTTTAGTTCCCTATTAGTCACACTTAGTTCAGGACTGGATTCACTGCTGAGATTCCTGCAGTGGCCCATTTTGCAGCAGTCTGCCATTAATCAGATAAAGAACCCACAGGGTCAGTTACCCAGCATTTAAGACTAAAGATGTGAAAACTTTCTTTACACACATGAATTTTTTTCCTATGCCTCATGTCTTTACACTGGAATAGAGAGATAGAGAGGAATTATGTGCTCAGGAAGCAATTTTCTAGAGAAGAAACCTGTTTGGAAAGCAAATGTGGTGGTCTTGACTAGGGTTTCTCAAGAACCAGTCTCAGGATCAATTGTTAATATTATCTGGTGGTCTTTGCATAAAACCAAGGAGAGTAAAAGTGAAATATTTTAATGACATACAACTGGAAGCCAGCAACAAGAGAAGTGTCAGTATAGGTAAAAAAAGTGGCCAGCAGAAGTGAAATGAAAACTTACTGTTCTCAGTATGAGTTTTTAATTAAGAACTCATGCTTCAAACTGAGGTAAAATGTATTACATTATTTGCAGGCTGATTATAACTTCCCATATGGACTGCCGGGAAGAACATAGTTATTATCCTAAAATGTATCCAGAGAGGAATTTCTGATAGAGATAGAAAAATGTATGTTTAAAATGAGATTCCATTTGGGATGTCTGAGCCAAAACCATTCCACATTTACTTAAAAAGCAGGAAGCTTGATGACTGCTGTAAATGGGCAACAGAATTGATGGCAATCTTGAGAATGTGGAATAGACTTGCTAGCAGGATGTCTGTTGTCCATCAAGTGGTGGAATACAAAGAGATATAAACAAGACACTTGTGGTATTGTAGAACGTGACTGTACAAACAGGAGTGTGTCTAAACACAGCAATTACAGATATAGAGAGCATGCACTAAACAGATGGTGCTGATAATGATTTAAAGTTAGCATATGGATAATGTTAACTCCTAAGAAAGAATGGTAGACACATGGTGGAAGAGAATATATAATAGATCAAGTTATTAAAAAAAAAATTGCCAGGAGAGTTTTGGTTTTGTGTGTCAGTTCCTGCATTTTTAGGTTTTTCTGCTTCAGCCAGTATTCCCCCATTGACTGTATTGAGGTTTTCCATTCTCATTAGCCATCTCACCTTTGTCCCATGTTCAAAATCTTTGGAAGTATATTTCTTTTTTCACCTTATTATTAAGTTGAACTATCTTGACCAAACAGGAGCTTCACTCCTCTTCTACTTACACAGGAAAATCGCCCCACAACCCAAAACAAGCAAGCACTCACTATTTTACTGAGTGAAAACCACAAAGGGAACATTATCAAGAGGCACTCTTTTACTTTTTGAATGTGCACAAGATGATCACTAAAATAATTTTACAAGGGCTCACTGCTTTCCATTAACCTGGAGCCAGGTCCTTGCAGACTATGACCAAGAGTGCTTAACACAGGCATGAAATGCTAAATAAAACAAATTCTCAGGGTGAATTCTTTGTACACAAAATGAAATGTGTATGGTTTGGGGACCAGAACTGTTCAATTTAGATGCAGTTTATGAAACTGGGTTTATTTCACCCCTATGCACAGGCTGAGCCACACTTGTGAATATTTCCCTGCTTTTAAAATGAACAAAAAGCCAGCCTGGTCTCTAAGGCAACTGCATACTTCTAAAACACAGAAGTAATTGCTGTTTGAATTTGTGCTGGAGATTGCTATGATTTGGGAATAATAGCCTAATAGTGACAGAAAAAGGACCGGAATATTTTTTCCTGACTCAGCTCTCTGTAACAGATTGCTCAATATTATTGACTAGTCAAAATGTAGAATTTAAATGGCTTTAACTTCCACATCATAGCTGCCAAAAAATGCTGCCCATGCTGATTCTAGGAATATGGGGCCGAAAGAGGCCTCAGAGACAACAGAAGATTCATTTTGTGATATAAACAGACATATTTAAGTGAAACTGAGAATAATTTTGAGTTTTTAAATTAAAGACAAGAATCACAATATCCTACATTTGATATGTTGTTAGCCTAAATATAGATGCCTGACATCCATTTCCTCTTATGCTGAAAGTATCAGGAAACCAAAGATCTTGACCACACAGTCACATTTCTGCAGATCCAAAGCTTGCAATGTTTCTGCTATGAAACATGAATATGGAAGAAGTTGACATTCAGCTCTTCAGAGGAGATTTTACACATATTGGTATTTAAGCTCTCTCCTTAACTTCAGTAATTGAATTGATTTTTTTTTCCTTATTGAACAGCTCAAGAAGGAACACACATGTTCACATTTACTTGCTGAGAAAATTGGGCTGGAAGCCTGTCCACTTTTTCTATGCTGTTTCAGCTTGTAACCCATTTTTGCAGGCAGGCTTGCAGGCTGAAGTGGAGAAGGCAATGACTTCTTTGTGGATCACGCTTACTAGAGCCCACCAGGACCCTCCTACCTCTTGGTATTTAAATGAGGTTTATTCAGTAGCTGGAGATCAATGAGTTGTGTCAACTGGAACCTCAGACTTTGCCTTACCAGCAGGGTAGAAGTGCAGTGTATGCCAGTACAGGACAGGTGCCTTACAGTGTGAATGCCGAGGATATCAGCAGCATTCTCCAGAAAAAAAATCCCTAACCACTTGTATTTTCTTGCAGAGGGTGGGGAAGAGTGGCAAGGACTTGAAGAAAATGTTGCCCATGTCCCCTTCACTGGCGAGCGCTACTCTGAGGCTGAAATGATTAAGAGGTCTCAGACATTCTATGAGCTTCTAAATAAGAGGCGATCTGTCAGGTTTCTCAGTGATGAGCCAGTCCCCAGGGAGGTTATCGATAATGTCATCAGAACAGCAGGTAGGTACTGAGTGGTTCAAGGTCTGGGAAAAAAAAAAAATGGATCACCACTGCTGTTCAACTATGTAGCTGTGAAAAGGTGGTGTGGAAAAGCCAAGGGAACTGGAATTTTGCTTATGGTTTTCCTAGATTCACCTGTAGCTGGAATGAATTAGCACCCATCGACTTCAGGCAGGAGTGGCTTTGACTCTCATGATTTCTCTTATTCTATGAGCCAGCTGCTGCTACTATAGAAAACATTCCCAAGCTGCCTTAGAGAAAAGTTCAGTAGCATTTAGCAGGGTTAATAATCTAAAGAATCTCCACATTTGAGGTGCATTATTTTCCCTTTAAGAACTGTAATGAGCTTTGTTACTGCACTGTAAAGATTCTCCATGTCACTCTAATTAACTAGGCATCATTAAAACACTGAGCATGTTTTGGCAAATGCAGCAAAGCAAACAAGTCTGGCGTGCAGATGAAGTACTTAGTAACCCTGAAAGCTTTGGGCTGTGTAGAGAAAAAGAAAACAAAGGGAAGCATGAATGCCATCAGTTTTTACTGATCCTCCAGACCTGAGGAGAAGCCAGGTTCACAATATAAAAACACTTTCATATATCAGGAAAGTTCAAGCTGCTTATTCAGCATTTCTTGAACTAAAACAAATCCTTAGTATTGCATGCAAGTTCTTCTAATATTTTTAAATGTGTATGAGGGACCAGAGAGATGTCAACAGTATTCTTAATCAATATATCTGTGAACCTGTGCAGATATATATTCTTCAGCTTCTTGCTTTTAACCTCTAGGCAGTTCAAATATTTCTCCAGTGGTGTTGGTGGGTGAGAAAGTACAAATTTTATATATATATATATATATATATATATATATATATATATATATATATATATATAAAATATAAATATATATATATATAATAGATATGTGCACACCTATGAACACCAACTGTCTTTGTGACAACAGACTCAAACCTGTATGCTCTATGGCAGATGTCTGTGTTTTACAGCTCCTTATCTTTGTCAGTCACTGACAGGTTACTACCGGTGATCACTCAGCCTTGTTTTCCTGAAAGCCATTATTTTCACCTTTTAGCTAAAACAACATATCAGAGTTGGCTGTATTCAAACAGAGCTCTGTTTTTGGTACAACTCTTTGTAATAGCATTACTGCATTCATATCTATTGCACCATATCACTGCCTCATCATAAGAACCATCAAAAAAGGATTTTTTTACAAATCCTTAACACTGGCTTCCTGTAAAATGGCAGTATAAAAGGACTAACTTCTGTTCTTCAATGGGATTTCACATTCTCTGAGAACGTAATGGACAGAATTGTCTGCCAGAACTTAGTCCTTTTCTTCCCATCTCATCCACTTGCTTTCCTATTGCTCAGTTGGTCAGCCTAAAACCCACAAGGAAGAGCTGCCCACCCTCCTTCCTGGGTTTTTACTTTTCCCTGTTTTTATATGAAGGTACTTCACCTAGTGGAGCACACACTGAGCCCTGGACCTTTGTGGTAGTGCAAGATCCGTATTTAAAACATAAAATTCGTGAAATTGTAGAAGAAGAAGAGGAAATCAACTACAAAAAAAGGATGGGAGACAGATGGGTTAATGACCTGAAAAGGCTGAGGTATGAAAAGTCAATTACCTAAGGGATGTGAAGATAGCTGTTGTTTCAGTGGAGGAAAGATTTCTATAATTTTCTATTTCTTCCTCCCTCTCATTTTAATGTTTTTCTAAAATCTATGTTTGGAAACAAAAGCTTCTAAATGTATGTAGGACTGTGCCTTGGTGTCTGGTTCATGAAATTGCTTCCAGTAAAAGGGATTACATGCTCTCTATTTTGAAAGTTTTCCAAGCACTTGGCTCCATCATTATTTTTTCCTACGTAACCTCTGCGGCTGAAACTTTGGTCCCAGATTTTTTCTGTTGTTTGCCAAACAGTCAAACTCCCAAAGTCACTGGAAACTTTGCTACCAACTGAGGAAGCCCCAAGGCTTGTCCCTATCCAAGTGCTGAATTATGCAATATTTAATTGTTCCAAATGTCCTCCGAAGTCTGACTGACTTGCTTAACTTCACGCAATGGGAAGATGTCTACTGAGTCTTGGCTTGTCAAACAGAGCACGTGCACAAAGTTTTGTAGGCTTGACTTGCCCTGCTTGTTTGATTATGTTACTATTTTTCAGGTGCTTAGGTGGTATGCAAATTTATGTGCTAAATGCCAAAGGTTCTTATGTTTTGAGTGACAACAGTAGAAAACACTAATTTTCTTGCCTAAATCCTATATCATGATTGTCATTTAAGAAATTTGGAACTGAATGAATTGTAACAGGGATTAAATACCCAGGAAAAGAATAACAATTTTTTCCATTGGAATATATTTAGGTTTAGACCTTAGACAAAATAGTTTTGAACTTTTCTGACAGCAGTCTTCCCTGCAATGAGAAAAAAGTTGGCACTGCTGGTAACAGGCAAATCTGCAAAATTCCAGGAATTAAATAATCACAAAGGCACATGCTCATGAGGCCAGTTCATAGATAAGAGGTCAAGAGCTATCTCTTATTTGTATGTAATTCCACTCTTCAGAGTGAGCACATCAACTCCTCAGCAAATCTGTTGAAATTGAGAACTCTATTCAAGCTTTTTTTTCCTTTCTGAAATGTTTCTATTTAAGGTGATAATATTTAATCCTTTTCAGTAAATGTTCTAAGGTTTAGTCTACTGCAATAATTGTCATATACCTTTAGTGTCCCTTTGCAGACAGTAAATGTATCTTACAGGAAACTGAAAAGTTTGCAAAATAAATGTATTAAACATTCTTTTGCAGAACAAATTGGATCAAAGAGTACTTGGACACTGCTCCATATTTGATTCTCATTTTCAAGCAGGTATATGGGCGGCTTCCTAATGGCAAAAAGAAGACCCACTACTACAATGAAATCAGTGTTTCCATTGCCTGTGGCATCCTGCTTGCTGCACTGCAGGTACATTGACAGAACCAACATACTGTGAGCCAATATATTAGTTTGGATTATCTACCAAGACTGTTCTGCCCAAATGTGAGTGGAACCTAGTTTAGATTTTAACATTTTCTGTCTTATGAATTACTCCAATTCCTGGCAATATGTCTTAGTTTTGAGTTTTAATGTTATTCTACCCAGGCCTATATCTGAGAAGGTGATTCCTATCCTCAGTACTGGTCAACAGGAAGAAAAATATAATGTAGCTTTCAGAGTTGTCACTCTTTTCTCGGCACAGTCTTCAGCTCCTGTGGTTTCTGCCTTATGCTAACAGGGCTGACAGGCTCTTCAGAGTACCCAAGCACGACTGTGTGGTGCCACACTGGCCCCGTCTTTTCAGTAATCCCTATAAAACAGCTTGACACCAAACCACTTTTAGTATACAATGCTGAAAAAAAAAATCAGGGACATATTCCACAGAACATGTTGTACTATTTCAATCAGTCTTTCTGAGATATTTCTGAAAGTGAACTGATCTGTAAAGCTCAGCATGTTTGACACCAGCCAGTTAGATTTTCTCAGTAGTTTCTCAGTGCTCAGTTCTGCTTCTTGTACCTGATGTACTCACACAAGTGTTAAATAGAGAAGCTATTCTGATAGTTAACCTGGCCTGTCAGCAAGATAACAGCAAGGTGCCTCCTTTTATATTAGGCCAATTTCCTACCACGCACTGCCATTTCTCCTCCATTCTGTTTTGAATGACACTTTCTTTTGTGCACTGCTGCTCCTCATGCACCATTCAGCACCACCAGTGTTTGCTCTAATCCTCTTGAGAAGATTATAGAGATTACTTTAACATGATGGGTGCATTTCCTGGGCACCTCTCCTTGGCTGACTTGTATCTCAAAGCCTCCCAAAATGCTTGCATTTCATAGACAGAGAGACTGAAATCCACATGTGCAGTTCTCAGGAAGTGACTCAGCTGTGTGATCACACCTTGGATGATGTCAGTTCTTTATTGTTTGTCCAGTTTTTTTGGGGGTTTTTGTGAGATTTTGAATGAGAGGAAGAGTGATACATAGACTTATTTTGGGATTCTGAGGTAATCCATAACAATGGCCACTGTGAGAGATGCCAACAGACTGCTGTGACAACTTCTGAGGCAGAGCCTGTGCCCTCTGTCCCTGTGAGGTACAGTTCATGAGGAGGAACTCAAGTGTTCACAAGGCTGTAAGGCATCTTTCTGCCAGCTGTATGGAGGCAAGAACTGAAATAGTTCTCTGTAAGAGCCAGATCATAGAATCAGGGAATAATTTGGTTTGGAATGGATGTTTCAAGATCATCTAGTCCAATCACCAGCACCATGGGATGACATTCCAATCATACCCCCACAATTGCCTCTCAGCTTTCCTGTGGCCATGGATTCCCCATCACACTGGCACAGCAGGCAGGCTGTGGCTCTACAGTACACAGACATGGCAAGGCAGACTGTGCTGTTGCTGCAGTGGAGAAATGCTCTACTTCCCTGTAAGCAGAGCAAGCATCTTTTATGGTGCCACTGAGGCTGACAGTAAATCAGGTGTTCTAAAGGCTGCAGCAGGTCTAATGAAGCAACGTTTCCGGACTAGTTGACAAAAGGATGTGTACAGGTGTGGTGGGAAAAAAAGCTATAAAGAAAGAGCACAGACCTCTGTCTCACTGTTGCTGTCTTGCTGCAGAACGCGGGTCTGTGCACAGTGACCTCCACACCCCTGAACTGCGGCCCCCAGCTCCGGGTGCTGCTCCAGCGGCCAGCAAACGAGAAGCTCCTGCTGCTGCTCCCCGTTGGCTACCCCAAGGAAGATGCCACCGTGCCTGCGCTGAGGCGGAAGCCGCTGGAAGACATCATGGTGGTCATATGAGCCCAGTGCCAGGAGAAGGGAGCAATCCTGCTGACAGCTGAAGATGTCACTGCTGTTTCTGTGCATTGTCCCCCTATGTCGCTGTTGCTCTGGCTGTTTGCATCTCCATTCTTTTAGTGCTAGTAATCAACTAACAGCAGTGAGCAGTCGAGCACTGTGCCTTGGACAGCTGCTGTTACCTATCTGACCAGGGCATTGTTCCAGGGAATATGTACAATGGCATTTAAATGATCTCATCACTTGATTTTTCTCATGCATTGTAGGGATGAATCTCTTCTTGAACTGCAATATATATTTTTCTTATACTTTTGTGATTGCCATTATACAGTTATTTTAACTTAAGAATTTTAATGAAGGTTGTATTAAAAGATACAAAGAAGTTAAACTGAGCTCCTATCTTGGTCAGCGCGTGCTGTTTAAATGCCCCTTCCCCTTTAGTGTGTTCAGCTGTGTGTAGGAAGATGCTATTTTCCCCTATATGGTAGGATTTCTTCACTTGATTTATCTCAAAAACTTTCTCTGTACCGGGCTTTCTAAAACTATTGTGGCTACGAGTGTCTCGTAGGTTGGGGGAAATTAAGTGGGAACAAGGCATTCAAATAATTTGCTTGTTACCATTTATTTGTACGCGCCTCCAGGCACAGTTAGATCATGTAGTAGCTATCAGTCGTGTCCCCGGTACTTCGCTGCATCCACTGGAAGCTACTATTCTGGTTATCCTGTTCATACCTACAGCTACAGCAGTTTAACACCCTGAAACTGAAACTGCTCCAGAGCCCGTGACACGGGAGCGGTGCTGTCACGCCAGCCCGGTCCGGGATGCGGGAGCGGCGCGCTGGAAGGGCTGTGCCGGTACCCGGGCGGGCAGAGCCCCCTGGTGGGGCCCGGGTGCCGCCGGCTCCGCCTGCAGCGGGAGGGGAAACGCGTCCTTCCCGCAGGGCTCTGTTCGGGAAACGCTTCCCCACCTGGTCTCTGCGGCATCCAGCGTCAGGCGCATTCAGCCAAATTGACTTCAGCCGTCCTTCAGGGATGAGAGGCTGGAGAGCAGTGCCGTGGAAAGGGACGTGGGGGTCTTGGTCAGTGGCAAGTTGAACATGGGTCAGCAGTGCCCTGGCAGCCAGGAGGGCCAAGCATGTCCTGGGGGGCATCAGGCACAGCATGGCCAGCCAGGCAGGGGATGGGATTGTCCCACTCTGCTCTGCACTGGGACAGGCTCACCTCCAGTGCTGGGGCAGTTTTGGGTATCACAGTATAAGACAAAAAGTTGTTAGAGAGCATCCAAAGGAAGAGCAACAAAGATGGTGAAGGAAGGACCTGAGAGAATGGCCTGAAGTTGTGTCGGGATGTTTAGGTTGGTATAAGAAAGGGGTTCTTAATCCAGAGGGTGGCTGGACACTGGAACAGGCTCCCCAGGGAAGTGGTCACAGCACCAAGCCTGAAAGAGTTCAAGAAGCATTTGGACAATGCTCTTGGACACTCGGTGCGATTCTTGGAGGTGGTGCTGTGCAGGACCAGAAGCTGGACTCGATGATGCTTGGGAGTCCCTTCTAACTCAGGATATTTCTGTGTTCTGAGTTAACTCACTACTTATCTGAAGTCTAACCTGGTCCAGTGGAAGGCTTAGCAGGGGGACCGAAAGTACAGGATTTTTAAGGTTCCTTCCAATTCAAACTATTCTATGATTCTACAGGTCAAATCCCATTTACTATCACTTGTCAGCTGAGCAAGTGGAGCGGATAAAATTTTGGCCATGTCAATGCCTCTGTCATCTAGTGGGAAAAATTGTTTTCCTCTTTGACAGACCATTTTGCTTGTATTTAGCAGATGTGGTGATTTCTTTGTCTGTTGTACTAGCCTGTTTCATGTTTTCAGTGGTACAGCTATGGCAGGAAGTTTTTTGTGCAGGCCTAGTCTGAGATCAGCTCTTGTCACTACAGTCAAACAAAATCTAAAAAGAAAAAAAAAAAAAAAAAAGAAAGAAGGAATTCCTGGATCTAAAATCTAGTAAGGGAGGTAGGGATGAACTGAACCAAGCCAAGAAGCCAAGGCTGATCAGCTGCAGGTGCCCAGTTATCAGGAATACATATAAAGTCACTGTTGCAAGTTTTCCTTCTGCGCAGATGCTGCTCTGCCCCATCATGCCGCTTCACAAGCAGTTTGTACCTGTTGGTACTACTATGTTTTGATTCAGAGTTCACATCAACAAAGGGAGGACTGAATCTGTGTCAAGTTGCAAACTTTCCTACAGAAATAAACTCTCAGCTACAGAAATAAATTGCTTCTGCCTGGTCTCAGTCTACAAAATAAATGACACTCAGAGAAAATTTACTAAATGAATTCAGTTTCAAACAGCAGGAGCTTGCATATATAAGGCTATATCTAGTGTGGTTTCACAACTAAAAAACAAAGAACTAAAGCAGTCTAAAAAGCACATTAAAAATTGTCACAATAAGAAGCATTGGTATATACCAATATACCTCTTCACACCAAAGAAGCTTAATAGTTGTTTTTTGGTTTTTTTTCATCTATGTATTCATTCTGGACACTAAAATACACATAGCAGTTTAAAAACTCAAGCCCTCACACCTACTAGATGGGAAAGATTCTATCCAAAAAGCATTTCTGGAATCATGAACTATAAGTAAAATAAGCTGCTTTTTTCTTCTTTTGTTTTCTTCTTTCCCTCCCTTAAAAATGCTTATTCAAATGGAAATACTTCAGTAGTATTACTACTGCTGATGATACTGCAGAGTCTTTTGTAAATCATGTTAGTACTCCTGTGTGACAAGCCTACTTGGAATTGCCACTGTTCTCTAATAAGTGCACTGTCTTTACTTAAAACACAATTAAATAATAATAAATTTTGCCTTTCCATGCTGCTCACTGTTGACTAAAATGAAGGCTGGCATTTAAATTGTTTTACATTTAACTAGGGTTATCTTATTGGCATTTGTTCAATTTCAAGGTAAAAAATTGTTTTTCTGCTATCTAAATGGACTTTCCCACATTTTAACTAGTGTCCCTTGCCTGTAGGCCTGGTGCCACCCATCTCCAAGAGAAGTCTGGCTTCATCTTCCCTGTGTCTTTCCATCAGGTAGCTGCAGACAGCAACTGGCTCTCTCCATGTCTGGGATCTTTCTTCCTTGAACTGTGTGGTCTAATTTGTGTGTATTCAAGGACTCTCGCTGTCTGAAATTTTCCCACAAATCAGGTGTAATATGGTGGGTTGTATTTTGCTCTTGAAATCGGGTGCAACAAGGTGGGTTGCATGACAATCCAGATAATTAAAGGAATAAGTATCACATTTGTTGGAACAACGGGCAACTGCTCATCTCCTCCCACTGCAAGGCTGACTGAACTGGCCTTGGTTTCAGTCTGCCCTTGAACAGGGAGCTGGAAGATATTGAAGCTGGTGTTCATCAGCAATCCAGGTGGCCATGCCATGAGGCAGAGAAGCATTGCTCCTGGAGCAGCACCACCTTACCCACTCCACCGTCTTCCTTTCAAGACAGGTGAGCCAGAACTCAAAGGATGCTGCTAGAAATTTTATGAACTGAGGCCTCTGTTCCACTGGTCTATGTTCCCCTCTCTTCCACAGCTATGTGATCAAGTTTAAGATTCCCATAAGTTAGCTGGGCTGTAGTAACCATCTAAGTGCTCTCTGCTTGATGGAACTTGCAGGTTGTCAGTATTTAGCTTCTTTGCAAGTAGTCTAAAGGTAAGTGTTGTTATTTTGAATTTGACAGAAATAACTGTTCTCAGGCAGAATTACTGGGTCAGAGGTGGTCCACAGGGATGGAACAGGCTGTAATGTATTAGCCATGTGTTTGAGCATTTCTTACCATACAAATTCACACTAGTGCAATAAAAGTAAAGCAACTTCTGAGTGTGAGGAAGTAACAGCTTGATGCTGTGAACCTCAGATGAACAAAAGTGCACAAGCCCCTACCTCAGGTTGCAGTTTTACTCTGATTAAGCTGCAGCACTTCAAAGACAAGTAGATGTGCAGTCAGCATCTGATTGATTTATTTCTTTAATTGCTACATAGATGTCATGGGCCCATGAAAAATCAATCTTGAGAAATAATCCAGCTTGCACTCCAAGGCAGGATCAGATATACTTGAATGCCAGGTACTGACAAAACATGAATCTACAGCACTAATAATCTGCTCCCAGAGAAAGACTTGAAAGAAATAAAAATGCAAATGCTAATTCTGCCAGCACATACAAGTCCTAAGAAGTTTTTTTTTTCCAGAAGGGCTCAGCCTTGGCATCATGTTGTGTCACTGATGAGACCTCCATGAAGATCATTACAAAGAGGTTGGGCTACTGTATTGTTTTTGAAGATTTCCACCCACCTGAGCTTAGTCAAAGCAGAACAGCGATTGTACTCATGACTTAAAACTCTCAAGGAATTTAATTATTTTTTGGCGAACTTTACCTATATCAGGCATCTACAAGAGCCAAGCCTTTGCCCATGTAGACAGAACTCTCCTGTGCTTGTGGAGTGTAAATAATGAGAACACTTAATTGGATGAGAGCTGGGCAACAGTTCCCTTCAAATTTAAGATGGAAGAGTCACTGAAGCTTGAAGTTACCAGTTAAATACACATCCTCTTTCAGGTTGTGCATGTGTATTAACTTAGCTACAAGACTGGAACTGACTTTAACTAATTCTGATAGAAACCACAAAGGCATTCCAAGACCCAGGTAACACAGTGTAAGACATGGGAGTGCTGGTCAGCAAGATGGAGAATAACCATGACCTCAAGACATCAGTTGCCAAGTTTTTTGAGACATACATTTGAGAGATGAGGTGTTTGAAGGATTTTTAAGAGAACTCTTGGTATTTTTTTACGAGGAGCTGCCCTGTGCCTGAGGGTAAGTTCTTGTCTATTACTTGAGGGCAGGATCTTGCAGCTGAGACCACAAGTGACTCAGCTTGAAAGGGTGAGACCAGAGTCCACCAGTTTGGCCCTACAATGTGACAGCATTGGTGAAGTTATCCTGAGGAGCACCTCCTGCAAATACCAGGTTCAAAGTGTGAATATTGGGAGTCAGATAGACAAAAGCACAGCTATGGAGACACACAACAGGCACAGATATGCTTCAAAGAGAGGACCTGCTTTAACAGGTTGCTTTTCATTTTTCAGTTGTATATGCAATGGGGACATGGGTGTGTAGATTATGCACTGGATTTTAATGAAGCTTTTGTGTCATTGTTTTTGTAGTGCAAATGGTCCAAATGTCAGAAGGCTTTTAGCATCTTCAAACTATTCCTTTAGCTCACTCATAGGATAGCAATTATTCATTCAGCTTGCAGAAGGCTGTCACAGCCAATTCTCTGTGGGACTAATGCCAAAGTACCACTCTTGGGTAAAGAGAAATATGTTCCCTAGCAGCTTGCTCTGAAAGATCTTTCTATGCAAGTGGAGGGGTTAACAACAACCTGCTGGCTTTGCCTTCCTGGGGCAAATAAATATGAGATGTGATGTAAGTCACCCCATTTTAAGTCTGAAGATCTTAATTTGCTTTCAGTGCTAGTGTACCAGTAAACTTGTTCTTTGTGATTTATGAATGAAGAAAAAAGAAATAGAGTAAGACAAGGCACAGCTACCAGGCAATGCTAAGTGTCCACACAAAGGAGTCAAAGAGCTGAAGAGAAAAAGAACTTTCCTACACTGGCCATTCAGTTTGTTCCTGCTTGTGAACTGGTATGCGTTAAATTTAGATCTGACCAAATTTCAGGAGACTAAGTGACCCTTGAAAAATCTGTGTCACTCTTGGAATTACGTGTTAAAAGCTCGTAATGAGCAATGACTTAGCTGCTGTCAAGGACAGTTGTGACCCCACTCCTCATTGGTACAGGGCCTTCTATTTCTCAGGGTACTTTTTTGAGTAAATACAGCAGCTCATTTTTAAATATTGGTCTCCAATTCCCTTTTTGTTGGAAAATGAAGATGAGGCACATGATAGGAGAAGAATAATTTTAAATTCAGTGAAATATAAATATTGGCCAAAGCAAAAATGTGGCATAATCAATAAACAAAGTGATGGACATTAGTTTTAAAAATTTAAATTGTAAGTAATCACATATTTTACAGTTTTGCAAAATGGTATGAAGTAAGAGCATCCTCAACTTTTAACTAGGGTGAATTATTAATTAACTTTAGTAGTAGCTGGTTCTGAAAAGGGAAGAAAAACTTCAAAATGAATACTTGAAATATTTATAAATAAGTTATCTATTTAGAAATCAAAAGCCACTGAAAATACTGACTCATTTTGATTAATTTTCAGAAGCATGAAAACAATTGTGACTATTTTCTTTCACTGCTTTGGAGACCAAAGCAGCATATGCAAGTATAATCACTTGAAAGAGATTTAGGATTTGTTTCATACTGAACTGTATTTCAGACTGTCCTTGAAATGTGAAATTGTATTTCCAAACTGTCTACTAGCCAGAATGTCAAGGCAACAACTGATCATCTCTGTGTAGATTCCAGATTGTGTTTCGGTAAGGATGCACTGAACAGGGCATGGTGGCTCATTTCAGTGCCTCTGTGAGATCTGAGAGACAAACATGATGCACAAACCTTAAATGCATCGTGCCTCAAATGTCACTGTTTGCTACAATAGCATCATAAATCAGAGGTGGTCAAGGATGGTACCTGACAGGGAGATTTCTTGTTGTGACCACCAACTCTGGCTGTGCAAGGACTTGTGAATGTCTGTGTATAAGAGGTGTATGCATGCATATAAAGCATAGAAAGGGCATAGATTAGGAACATAGACCAGTAGAACTGTTCTTGTCTCATGTGATACAGATCGGTGCTTCCTAACTGCCTGCAGTTTTGCCACTCTCCCAGGAAGGAAATCTTAGGCAAACACCAAACATTGCTGGTTTTGAAGGGAACAGAATTAAATCTTAGAAAATAGCACTAAGGTCAGAAATATTCTTAAAAAGTGTCTTGGTTCTTAGCAGAAGATAGGAATGTTTTATACAGGGTAACCTCTAACTATTGCTTCTCCCTGATACCTGGTAGAATTTGAGTGCATTCATGATGAATGAACAGCAGCACAATAATATCTGCTTCTTGTTTATCAATTTTTTAATGGTTTTGACCTCTATTTCTTTTCTGTCCTTCATTTCACATCTGTCACCTCACAGTCTATTTTTGCTATGGGTGTTTTTTGAGCTTTAAGCATTGTGTTCCTATTCTTTAATAAAACAAGTGTGAGTACTATGCAAAGTGTGTTGAGCTGACAAGTGTTTTGAGCAGAAAAACAGCAAGCACAGGTCAATAGCAATATATCTATCTTTCTGCGCTTATTTTTACTGTGATTTTTTATCTACGCGGGTATAGTATCTGATCTCCATTAGATGTGTAGCAAAAAGTGGTTCTGACTCCAAAGTCAGAACCAATCTCTGCCTTTTAGCTGGATTTATTGCACTATCTGTTTATAATTAGATGACAAATCACAAGTATGAATGAGGTAATAAACAAAGGTTAGAGCAAACTGCTGACAATTGTTATCTATTTTAACTGCCAGGAGAAGTGTGGCAGGCCCCTCCTATCCTGCAAATCAAAGTGAATAAACACTCTCTGTGAATATTACCTTCCCATTTAATTCAGTAAATTGTTGATGAACAAATTGCAAAGTTCAAGAATGCAATTATTTGGGATTAGTAGAGAATTTCTTTGCACATAATTGATATTCTGTGGATCATTTGATTAGCAGCTGAAAACAGTTTGTAATTGATGCTGTAATTAGCCAGCACAGTGCTCACTCCATATGAGACTGCAGTGTTATAAATTTGGGTAGACCCAGGATATAGAGCGATGCAGCTTGACTGCTAACTAATTCACACTGGTTTGTAGGAGACTACACTTTAACCTGCAGGAATTGAATACAGAAGATTTGCAACCAGGTCTGAATCAAAAATTGCTTCAGAATTCACTTACCTTTAATTCTGTGCTTATTTCAGCTGTCTTTGGGTTCCCACTTTGTGATTTTTGCATCTCACTGGTGGTTCAGCACAGATAAAGGTGACTGATATCTGAAAATCTGCATGGAGAGTAGCCATAGATGGTGATGGATACTCTGCATAAATATTTCCTATCTGTGATGTGTTCCCTCAGAGCCTGAGAGTCCCTCTTGACTAAGACTCTGTATTTTCACCTGCACAATCACACAGCACGCCTGTATTGTGGGAGGAACATGCTTCCTTTCTGTCCCTTAGATCCAGGAGAGCAGAGTCCATCTGTGAGCAGCTAAATGGGGAAATACTATTTTACGTATGGATTATTCAGTCAACTGATCTAATAGGAGGCAGTGTTGCCTGCAGGCCAGTATCTCTGTCCAGAATTAAAATGCCTTTTGTAGGAAAAAGGTAAATGATGTTTTAATTTTTTTTTTTTCAGTTTAGAAACTGCATAACTAACCTGGCACTCGTATTCTGCTCTCTAAGGGCTGGATAAATAAATGTAATTCTATTGTTTAGCGTCTCAGAGAAAGCCTATTCATATGGAAGGAGCTTCCCCCGACCTTTTGTAGATACAACCTTTTTTTTATCCCTAGCTGCTCCTAATTGTCAAGAAAACACATGAAGTGCTCCGTTACATTTGCTACCACTGCCTTTGTACCACTAGATGGCACAGGAATACCATTAGGAAGAGAGGACCTTTGCCTGGAAATAAATTTACTCCAGTTACCTTTAACCACGCTCTGTTACCCAAATCACAGATCTAGGAATCTGCATCTGGGAGATAAAAGCTGGAGTTTTATCTGTGATCAAAAAAGGACCGCACACAAAGACCGAATTTGTCGTGCACTTCAATAGCTTAAGAGTTGACTGTAAATGCAAAGGGTGAAACTCACTTCATCCAATCTCTGACAGGCTGGTATAAGTGGGGCTTTTTTTTGCTGTAGAAGCGACCCGGTTTTATCTAGTTACCTAGCCACGTATTGCCATATGCTTTGCAGTGATACAGATGCAGAGCTTCCCATTAGTCATACAGCAGACTGTCAAGTTCACAGGTGTCTTCAAATAAGCATAGAGTCACTAATTTTCAGCCATTTCCTTTCATTGATTTAATTCCCCATGGGTTTCCCTTCCTCCACTGTTGGTCTTCATACTCTTCTCCAGACCTCTGCAATCCTGGCTGGCCAGCAGC